ACCAAGCTGGGTATGCACAACACCTTAAAAGAAATAGCCAAAGCACAATGCATTTCGTAGCTTGAATGCGTGTCAACCACTACCATAAGAAAACAAACTATGAACAAACTTGGCACAATTTACCACCAGCATGGCCAGAAAATATATATCTCAACAAAAATTGGAAACACCGTTGCAGTGGCTAATATTCATGGACACGTGCACCTCGACTACAACAGAGGCCGACGAAAGGCCAAAGCGGAGGCTTTGATTTGTTTTTTGCATGCTTGTTGACGTGACGGAGTATTGTAATAGTGACAAGGGTCACAATTACACTGCTGTAAGAATAGACAGGTTTCAAAGCAGAAATTTCAGGCAGCATACGCATGGAACAATCAGAAATAGCAGATGAAGTAGCCATATTGTTACAGGAAAAAAACATGCACACGAGTGCAGAGTTGGTGTTTTGACAGTATTTGTAGTGATTGCGCAGGGTGTGATCAGTCAGGTCAATTTCCTCCAATCTAAGTGAGCTTTCTCGTTCTTTTTAGTGCAACATCATCCTCCCGGCAAGTGTAGCTCCATCCGGGTACAAATCATGGAGAATTAGTGAAGGCGAAGTATATATGGTTTGAGCCTGGCGACATGAACGTCACTATCGACGTGACGGAGCAAAAACCCATCAGCTGGTGGTATTTCCTATACCATGTCACAAAATTGGCGTAAGGTCTTGTACGGACCAGAATGACAAGAGAGCAGTTTTTCCGCTGAGCTAACACGGCAAGAGGGCGTCCAGAGCAGTACAAGAAAACCAAGAGACAATTGTGTATTTGTGCTGATGATCGTAGCGTCGCTTTTGAGAAGGTTGCGAGGTCTTGACGAGCGACCTCTCAAGCATGGACGGCCGAAGTGATTGCATCGTGGGCGTAATTGGTCGTTGAGAATATAACACCAGAAGGTAGGAATGTGTAGAACGGCAAGACAGAGCCGCAGCCATACAAAAAAAAGAATGGGGAAAATCGAGCGGTTTCGTGACAGGACGAATTGTAAGCAAAATGATTGTACAGTAAAGCGGTGGACAAAGTGATGGGGATTGTCGGAAACGTACATGGCCAGCATATCAGTTAGGAGTGTGGTTTAGTCGCTCAGTGAGCCCCTTCCTTTGATGGTGGTATGCGGTAGCAATCTTGTGTTCAGAAGCTCAAAAGCGGAAAGGGCCATCGTTGACCTTTGACAATAAGTAACGGCCACGATTCGTTAGTAACTGTGGAAGGGTGCTGTGGTGTAGAGTAACATCGGGGAGTAGAAAGTCCACAACATCTGCTGCACAGCTGGTCGGCATTGCTTGTGCGATGGCGTATCTTGCTGCATAATCTGTCACAATGGCAATCCACCTGTAGCGAGAAAGGAAGACGGCACTGCGGCCAACGTGGTCGTGTCAAACTCGCTGCTTTATTCGATTGCCGAAGTGGAGCGGCGGCGGTTGCCACGCCAAAACCGCCAGGCGCGTGAGCTTGTTCTAATCCTCACGCAGCTCGAGCTAGCATCAGCTGTGCGAGAGGCGCGGCGCGCTGATCGAGAGATGACAATGATAATCATGCGTATAGCCCCCCATCCCCCAGCGCTTTGCGTGATTAGAAGTGTATATAACAAAGAAAGAGACTATACACGTGAACGACAATCCGCAAGGTGTCCGTTTGAGAAGTCCAGTTTGTCAACATGTACTGACCATCGAGAAGCAGTGGGTCTCTGGTGGGCGACACTGGGAGTTGCGCAGTGGACGAAGAAGTAAGCGTTCGGTCGCTGTGTTTGCAACACAAGTGGGTGACAAGATGACCAGCTGGGGCCAGCTGGGAGCGCACAGGGTGTCGCAAGTGAGCATTGCAGGTAGAGGTGCGTTCAGGGTGAGATGAGGACGAGTGTACAAAAGTCGATTTGGCCCCTGCACGCGAAGCAAGAACTCAGTAGGAGGCATGTCATGTGATCCAGCAGATGTGAATTCTGGAGAAGGCTCTGTGGGCGTACCTTGACTTGGGGAAGCACCTTCAGTAGTCGGTGCACGTGAGGGCGTCTTCTACCTTGTGGTCATAGTCAGATGCAGGAGTGGATGTAGGAGTGGATGGGGACAAAGAGTGGTGCATGAGCGGCGAACGTGTCCGATGACCTGGCGAAGACGAGGAGTGGTAAGATTTTGGCGAGAAATTGATCTGGTTTACGATAGTGATCTGGTTCGGCGTGAAGGGCGAGAATGTATGATCATCGAGCAGCAGGTGGTTGCGACTGGCATAACCGTTGACGCTTGGTTTGCCATTGTCGCTGACTAAGACATTGGCTGTCGGTTTTCCAGGGTGGCGGCAAGCACATGACGTTTACTGCAAAGCTCCATCGTGGTACCCAGCACATTCACCAAATGTTGCGGGAAGAGTGCAGAGGCACACGAGTGCATAGTTGGTATATTGACAATAATTTCAGCAGTTGTCCAGGGGGTGACGAGTCGCGTCATCTGCTTCCAATCTGAGCGAGCTTCTTCGTTCTCTATATTGCAACAATATTCCACTGGCCCTAAAAAATCAGGTATGCAAAGTTGTCTAATGCAAATCCGAAACAGCAATAAAAAAACTACGCTAAAAGCACGATTCCCAAGGAAGCCTTGGTCATTCTGGCAAAAGCGGGCAGATCCCTAAACGTGAGCTCGACCATCTTGTAGTTCCCCACTCACATCACCAACGGAATGTGATATCCTCCCAAATAAAAACGAGACTACACACTTGATGGCCAGATACATGCTGCGCTGAACACGGACATGCCTCTCGTACAATAAGGAACATACCTCATGTATAAGGATAGGATCACTAGCTATAATGAGAAAAACAAAAGCATATGTTAACACAAGAAGGATATTCCCACTGCTTAGTCCCAAACAAAACAGCAGACAGGCCATTTTCTGGGGGTAACTCTAGATGAACAACTTCCCTAATCCAGTCCGTCTAAGATGGATATATTCGAACAACCATCAGGACGACATGTAAAATTCGTACCAGAAAGGACGTGCAACACTCTAACACATATTATAGGGTTGTAGTTATGTTGCCAGAATGCTTGCAGTTACTCTGGAGACCCTTTCATTGAGGTTGGCTACTGCTCTGCACATCTCAAACTTTGGCGTCTAAATGTGAGCAGTCCAGCAAGCTCACAAGGCGGCTTTGAGGCAAAGCTTAGACGTTTCCCCGTGCGAGACCAAGCCAATATTGCAATAAACCTTGATAGACATTCGATAAAGTTGTATCCATAATGAAAAAATTGGAAGCGCAAACCAACGGGACACAAGAGAAGAGACAAACAAGCCCGTTGTCCCGTTGGTTTGCGCTTCCAATTTTTTCATTATGAATTTGTACCAACTAGCCCGCCTGTCAACCCTTCTGAAAGTTGTATCCTTTGAACCATAAAGTGAGAGAAAGAGGCAACATCTGAATCTCGAGCTTGTGTCCCATAGCTAAAATGTCTCAGCCTGAAGTAAAATTAGGGAAACAACAAATTCAACAATGAAGAGGAGGCTGTAACTCAATGAAAGCATATATGCACCTGCAGGCATCATATGAGGTCGGTTAGAAAAGTACCCAAACTTTGGTGGAACAGCAAAAACGGGCATTATTGGAGCATTGTAAACCTAAACACCCTCAAAGTAGTCCCCTTGGGACTCTAGAGACTGCTCTTAGAGGTGCTGCCATTGCCGGAAGCATTCTAGCACTGCTCCAGTCGCTCCCTCATTTTCCTTACAATGAAAAACCAATGAGAGCACTGTGCATACCTCACTCAAACACTGCATCCCAGCGACTGCCGAAATTGCCAGGCGGAAAAAAATTCACACGTGCACACAAAGGTTCAAAATCGGCTAATGCAAGCGCGCTTGTTCGAAATTCATGAAGTGCTTGCAAAAAAAAAACAGAGGGGCAGTGTATTGGCAACAGCAAGTGGCAAACGGGAGGCGCTATCTGCAGAGCTTGTTGAACAGCTAACAGCAAAGCATCATCAAGAGCAGCTGTTGCAGTTTTGTACAACCATAAACTTGTTCATAAAATATGCATAAACCTCCATGTAACAAAGTACAAAACATCACCGATACAAATCATCGCATTGAAGGTTCTTCGCATAAAAGTTGGTACTTCTATGGCGAAACTCTCTGCAGTGCTATTCAAATGATTATATGACTTCTGTGTTAGATTACCACACTGCATTTTTTTCTACTTCAACTCTTTCCAAAATTTAGAAAAATGTATTTCCCTTCAACTGTAGTGGCTGGTCTCTGTTGCACGGAAGATGACTTGACAAACGCTAAAACTACATGTTTTGACCACTGGCACTAGCAGATGTTTTAGTGTATTGCCTTCCCTTATCGATTTTTTTATAAAGCGCATGGACATTCACGTGCTAAATAAAAATGAAACTTCACCCTTAATTTTCTCCACGAATAATTAATTTCCAACTGTGAAACATGGGGTTAGAGTTCTCAGAGTGCAGTTTATCAACCTAAAACCAAGTCATTGCACCTCTTTAATGTTCACTCCAAGGAGCCATGACAAGCAATTTTCATAATCTGTATTATAAAAGTTGGTCCTTTGAAGTGGACAAATGAGCTGGTGAAATTTCAGCACATTTGGCTGAACGCTTAATTTATAATGAGGATTGTTATAAACACGCATGTGGCCGGGTAGCCTCACAACAGTACATGTGAACCATGACATAATAAGACACTTGCTTTGTGAGCGTATCTATTCCGCCCAACAACTGTTTCATGGTCAGTTGCGGTACAATGGAGCTACTTCAACTTTTGTATGCCTTGGAATTGAAAAATTGAAGAATTTGCACTGGCTGAAGTTCGGGAGAAGACAGATCTCCTGCATGAGACACATGACGACCCACACCCCATGGCAACATAACGGTAGCTGGCAGTGGGCGGAGTTTATAGCTGGAGACTTATATAGCTGACTTAGCAATTAGATAATATTTTTTAATGTCTGTTTTTCATACATTTACAGGCACAATAGACGCTCTACAATATTTAGCTGAGAATAGCAGTACGGAGGGTGACCTTGTCATGGCCCCGAATAAGTACTTAGTTATGGCGGACTTGGTTACATGGAGGTTTAAACGGATACATCTACTTATTTATGAATGACTTTATGATTTCAAGCTGCGCTTCTTGATAGCTCCTGTTGTGCCTGCGCTCCTCAGCTAGCGCCTCTAGCTCAAGCTCCTTTAGCTTGAATTTTGCCTCCTGCTCCACCTGCCTCTGTTGAAGCTCCATTTCTTTCAGCTTCATTTTCTCCTCATGGTGCTTTATCTCGAACCGGAGCCGGTCCTCTTCAAGTTGGAGGTGGCGGTTCTCGATTGCAGTGTCCCGATCAAAGCGGGCCTCAATGAGGGCATATGTTGCCTCAGCGTACCGCTGTGGACCTGCACAAATTTACAAAGAACAGTTAACTGTCTTAGATTTAAATGGATGAGCAAGTGCAACAGTTTACAAAGCACCATGATATTCTACTGAGCACACATGGTTCTTTTTAACTCAGTAGACTCTCAGTAAACTGAAATCTATTAAAGGGAATTGCTGCTTAAATGAAACAACTTCATTCAACACGGTTGCTTTCGTACTTAGATTCTCCACTTCTTTTTTTATCTCGGAGCTACTGTTAAATGGAAAACATTTTCTAGTCTCTTCACATTCCATTTAACGAGAGTCTACTGTACAGTACTATTGCAAAACACTAGACTTATTAAACACAGGCAGGTAAATACTGTAATAATAGTCAAGCTGCCTCTGTACACACAAAATTGCTTGCAACAAAATGTTGCGATTACTTAAAAAAGTATTGGGAGAAATCTTATAAGTTGTTTCTATGCATCAAATGAAAGGTCAAGCCCTCAAAACCAAGAAAGTTCACTTATACACTTGACTACACTTTAAAAAGCAAATGCAACACGTTTTTAAAAAGCTGGTTCTGTTTCATATACTGTATACTGACGTCGAGACACACTGTAGCCACATGAGTTGGCGACATGCTCACGCTAGATATGGTGATATGGTGACATTACACGGGCGTTCCATCATCTATTGCTATACACATATGGGCCTTTCCTGGCCAAGACTAAAGATGCGATAAAGCCATATACTTGGAGATTTTAGGGGACAGAGAAATAAGCTTTCTCAAAGAAAGATTTACTACACAATTAAAGTGTTTTTTTTTTTACTCTTGCCTTCAATAGCAAGCATCTTCATCTACAATTGTGTACCTGCATTTTAAATGATACTCTTGTTTTCTACAAGGCAAAATACAAGATACACTGATATGACCAAGCCTTCTTTTTTTTTTTTGTTACACACCTTGCAGAGGCACACGAGTGTTGGCCACCCATCTGGTTTCACCAGTGTGGGAATCAGGGGGGCTCCCATGCACAGTTGCATTGCCTGGTAGTCCAAGAGATCACAAGTAACCAAGTTCAGAAGGAGGCTGCTACTTCAGTCTAATGCACATAAAGCAGACTTATTCTCAAGGAGACAAAGCAAAGATATAAAAGCAGCAAGGGCAACTAAAAGAAGTGGATCCATGATGAAACTATGCAACTAGTTTTTGAACATACTGAAACTACTTACACTTATTGATACTTACTCTCTCAATAATTTATTATTGCATAGGACAAAAATATAGTACTGAAAAACAAAACAATGTCCTTCGCTGAGCTCATATTAATTTAATTAAGGATTTGGTGCAAATGTTAGCAACAGCTAAAATCTGACCCTGTATTTCTTTCATAGCACAAAATAGAATTTTTCAGGCCATCTTGAATGATTTTCTAGACTCAATAGCTGCACCTAAAGTCGCTTTTGTTGATGTTGAAAGCACTAATGACGAAAATCATTTGAGTCTGTAGGCATGCACCAACAAAACTAGGGATTACAAACCTGCAGCAGCAACATCTGAAGGACTAGATGTTGGAGTTTGAGCTCGACTGGGTGCAGCAGTTGTGATGCGGTCAGGTGCTGGGCATGAGGCCGTCCGGTTGTCTTCGAGTTCTGTACATCACAAGTGAACCAACTTAAGAGCTGTGCTGTGTGCTTTGAGCTTGAACCCAGCTTTCATTTCCAATACACATCGGCAATAACTCCTCTCATGCAGCAGCTCTTTTGATGAGAAATACAGGCTCTTCCTAGTGCCTTACTTACATGCTGGAGGCTAGGGCTCAATAATGCCGGTGCAATTACTTGAAAAACCTTATTTTCTATGATCTCCCAGGTATAACATGGACCCAAAAAATGACAAACAACACAGGGTGATGCACAAGCTATCAACTAGCCCCTATTGCCGCCTTAGTAGCTTCAAAAACCCACTGCAAGGCTAAAAATGACAGGTAGGAGAAAAGAGAAAAATAATGAAAAGTAATTTCAGGCCATGCTGAGAGGCCCACCTGACTGGAAATGACTATTTAGGACTATTTTAAGGGGTCCATGGTGTTGCCATTTCTTCGGTGTGTTTGTGTACGTGCATTTTCCAGTCTTAAAATGAATTAACACCAACTATACCAATTTTGCATGCTACAGCATCCACTAGTTTATGCAACAGTGTATTCAGCACGTGTGTAATGAAAAAATTTTAGTGTTTCTCACTGTATTTTCACTCACCACAGTCAGGCAGATCCATGTGAATCTCTATGTTCTCCGGCTCATACATTGAAGTAAGAAGTGTCTGAGCGAGCCTGTGACGTGCTTGCACCATCTGCTGGTCAGGAAGAAAACAAATTTTTATTGAGCTCTACTTAATATAGCCAGCAGAAATTTGATTTGTTATAACATAAGGGCTCTAAACCAAGGATTAAGAAACAAAAGAGAGGGAATACAAGTACTTATAGATAATGAGTAGGTTACACATAAATAAGAATAATTATAGAAAAATGGAGAACCATGCTAAAAAACATCTACAAACTCCAGCTGGACAATTATTTCAGGTACACTTATAAATAGTCTATTTCAGCCTTGTGCAAAGCTGTTGAAGGCAAACGTGTCACCTAATTCCTTGAAAAAAAAAATCATCACATTCACATGTTGCTTGATCTTTAAATCTAGCCAGTACCTCAGCCCAACAATCTGTCTGACATTGAATCCCACTGTTTGGTTCAGAAGAATGAAGTTGTTCTAATCTTTGCTAGACACTAAATGGCGTATCACAGCCTTCTTTGGTGAGACAGCTATTCCTCAACCTTTGGCAGAATAGTTCAAGCTCTGACCTAGTAAAATGTTATGTAACTGGTGAAATGATTACGTAACATAGAAAACAATTGCATATTCATAAGAATTTCATGTCTACTGCAGGATGAAGGCTTGCATGAAGATATTCCAATTCGCCCATGTTGTGCAAGCAGACTGCATGCCATGTCTATAGCATTGTCAATGTTGCCACTTGATATAACTCATGTTCAAGGTTCTCTGTGTGATTCTTTTCTGAACATGTGTGTGTTTGTGAGTAGACATATCTTTTTGCACATGTGATCCTTTTTTACATCTCGGTAATCACCTGACATCAGAAGTAGCAAGCAAGGCAACCAAGCAAACATTTCCGGGAATCTTATTTAACATTGCTATATCTCTGTCTCCACCTATCTGGTAAATATACCACAGTGCCACACAAGTAGCACCTAAGTCATACAACAGGCCGCAAAGTGTGCTGCAAGCATGGCTGCTGCCTTCATATTTCACACAGAAAACTTCCAGAGGTTGTGCCTGCTATGATCGTGCAGAAAGCAAACGTTTACAAATATTTGTCCAGTTTGTTACTCTCTTCTTAACTTACTCAACCGGTGAAGCACTGTAGTATCATGCAATTGATCAAATGACACCACCTGTAAATTCAACGCAGGCCAAGTGTACGGCTCACGATCAGTTAAGTACGAGTAAGAATTGCGAAATCAGCACATTTCTTACCAGGCTCAACACCGTCCCCCGCTGTTAACTCCGCGTAGGCCGCCAGGGCATCTTCTTCCCTGTTGTCGACGCGACGTTTCGCTGGCGGTCGGGCGACCGAGTTTCTTGTGGCTCTTTTTTTGATGTCGTCGCGTTCAGCGAGCTGTCGTGCGGTTGACGGTGGTGGCGTGTAGCCGCACTCGCGCGCTGTCAGCCGCTTGCTGCAGGAGGTCCTCCAGTTCGGACTGCTCCTCTTCTGTACCGGAGCTATTGCGGAGCCAGTAATCACAATTTTTGTCAATGGGAAAGAACAGTACATAACAAAGTTCAATAAGAGACGCACTTACCTCTTAATTTTCTTCTTCTGATCTCGCAGAAAACGCAGGAGGATTAAGTTAAGCCTTTCCCTGACACTGCGAATGCTGAAGCATCTGCCGAGCACCTCGGAGAGCCGATCGGCTATCTGCAGCCACCTCGCAGGGTCAAGGAAAGGGTTTACATGTACTACCTCCTTTACTAGAGCGATGTCATCGCTGAGAGTAAATCGCTTGCGCCCAGACATCGATTCCGCTGATGACAGAGCGAATGTAAACAACGTGTTCGCCGTTGGCGCTTCTGCTTCGGCTTGTCTTGACTCGGTGGCTTGCTCCGGGCCGTGAACGTAAAGCCTATCCGGCGAGTAGTTTACGTTATGTAAAGGTTCACGTTCCGTAAAGACTCGCGCATGCGCAGATTCTATCCGGTATCCGGTAACACGGTAACGTAAAGAAGTATACGTACAAACTAAAACTCCCTACAAACTAAAACGTAAACTGCCCGTAGGATAGGCTTTGCGTTTACGGCGCTATCTCGGAAATCTACCTTCGTTCACAAGATGTCGCGATATCCGCATAGCGGAGACGCTAGACATCGAGTCAAAATAAGCCGAGGTGCGAGACGCCGATTCGATTACATTGTTTCAGCCGGGTTACCAAAGCTAGAATGGCCTGAACATCGAACTTCGAAGCCGCAAACCTCTTTGCCGCAAGCGTGTGAGCCCCCGGCAAACTGAATAGGTGGTGCCATCTAGCGGGGTCATAATGAACCAGGCAATCACATAATTGTTATTACAAAAACATTGTGCATAGTACGTATCTCTGGTGTAAAAACCACGCAGCAGGGTCATTACGAATGAGCTACCTTTTCATTCATTTACACCTCATTTAAATAACGGCTGAGCTAACGTCCCAAAACATCCGTATTATTGAGAGACGCGCCGTAGTAGAGGGCTACGAAAACTTTGATCACTTGGGGTTCTTGAACGTGCACCTAAATCGAAGTAGACGGGCCTTAAGCATACCGCTTCAGTCTAACAGTGCAATCTTGCTCGGCGCGCGTGAATAAGTCTGCGGCACGCCACGCGCACCGAAACATCGCACCGTATTTTTCTTCTGTGTGCGCGATGAGTGGCTTCACGGCACAGCCGTTGAACAACTCTTCTCCTATAGGGAGCATATAGAGTAACTCTAGGCAAGAGAAACGGTCTTAAAAGGCATGCTTTTCAAACATAGAGACAGTGCCGTACATGTACGGTAAAAACCCTTTGGTCCATGTTAGGTGCTGCCGTACATATGTACGGCGAAAACCCTGAAAGGGTTGAAAAATCTGGAGATGTCCCTCCGAGATGACCGAAATGAGGCAGCCGATCACTTCCGCAGCTAACCACTCATGCACTCAGCAGTGATTTCCGAAGGCAGAGTCACCGGCCATTCAGCTGTTGTCAGTGTACAGTGCACACACCCTTTGGTGCGCGCCTGCATGCATTCGACTCGGCGGAGAAAATACCGCGGACGTTTTCCCAACTACACGCACCCACCTTGTACGAAGGTATGCATGCATGATGGCACGCACCATTCTCGTGTGCCTTGTGATCGTTTAGCCTTTTACATTCCCATTCTAAGAAATACCTGAGCATCCCAAGGAGGATTTAAAAAAACCGCAGGAGACGCTGCCTAAAAAAAATGCTGGAGTGGAAATCATTGCCTAGGAGTGAAGCCGTGCCTCTCGCCAAATGGCGGCTGCGGCGGCCCTCTTACTAGGGGCATAATGAAGTATCACTGTTCAGCGATTAAGAACGGAGCGTTTCCCTCGCAAGCCAAACGAGTGTAATGTGGAAACTTTTTCGGGTCACATAGTGCTCAAATTGCGTCTTAGCACTTTGAGCACTATGTAAGCCTTTGAGCACTACGTGAAAATTCGAGCCTCTAATGGCCAGATTCTTATGAAATTTAGTCACCCATACTCGTTTCTGTGTTATTTCGTCAGGAACAGCTATTTTTTAAATATAGAACTCGCGCCAACACCAACATATCACCAACACCAACAATTTACACCAACATATCAAAGCCACTTGATCTCTAAGTGGGCACCATCACAAAAGAGCATGTTTTCGACAGTGGCAAAAGCTGGCTTCACTTCCGCTGGCAAGGCATTGCGGGAGCTTTCACTCCAGCAATTTTTTGAAATCTTCTTTCGAGCATCCCCGGTAATTTTCCAGTTTCGGTAAGACACAGAACAATAATTTGACAAGTAATTATTGATATCTGGACAGCCGATTATAATACACAGTGTCATCCATACCACTGCCAGTGACATCTCTTCGAAGCAATCTAGAATTTGCTTCAATACCGCTATATGTTAAAAATAATGAACCACTAGTTGGCCAGAGTAAAAAAAAATAAAAAAAACAAGCAGAGAAGGAAAATTTAGGCACACTTTTGGCCATAATATCTGTAAGATGTATTAATTTACGTTATTATTTGCAACATAGTTAGTTCAAGCATGCAGCTACATTATATGGGCTGTCAAATGTTGAAACAACAGTAAATTAGACCATCCACATCTGTCGCAAAAAAAAAACGGCGGTTTATTAAGCAACGAATATTTCAGTAAGAAATTCTGCTAAGAATGAAACAATGCGAATTGCAAACAATCTATGTAGTTCATAGTAGCACAAATAGTAAGGACAGCAACATTTGCAGCAAGCAACGGCAGCATTTTAATGAGGCAGTCAGTCTTACATTGTGAATGCAGACACACAACCAAGCCCATGTGAGCATCAGGGAAAGGAGACACAAATGCATACCTGTGCCTCTGAAATATTCAACAAAAATGTGCATTCAAGCCCAATGTGCACTTGCATTGTATAATTAGAGCAACTGCTTTTTACTGATGATGTGAAAATATCTAGCCCTATGACGGAAACGCAACCTGCAGGCTTCTCTCTGGACAGGGCAGGCGAGCTATCTCTAGCCAGAGTTTAAAAATATGCCGACACACTCAATAACGACACGACCAAATGCATGTTGCTGACTGTTAACTGCAGTAAGTCGGACAATTTTGTCATGTTATGATAAATTGCCTAAATAGACCACTTTAACTGAATAAATTTTGAAGCAACGACGCAGGGCAAATGATTACGATGAAAAAGTTGCAGATCAGTTTGCAAAAAGTTTGATCAGATAGTTGAAAACTTTTTATTATTAAGTATTAGTGTCTTCCTGCTTATACAGATGCCCACGAAAAACGAAGAAAAATCGCACACAGATGCGCGCTGTTATTCTAGTGCAATGTGCCGCAAATGGCATAAGAAACCGCAAACGCAAGGGAACGTGTGATGGCTAAAGATGAAAATATTGCAGTATACAGAAAACAAGCTGCCTTGACATGTTATGCCTCAGCGGAGTTGGAATGCGACACCTACAGAATTATACGTTTAGCACTCTCAAGCTTGCCAACAAACCACATAGACAATTTTTCCAACAATAATTATAGGGTAACTTCATTAGATTAGAACATCTCCACAGGATACAACTTCCAAGACACTTGTAATATACTATATGCATATACTGTATGTACACATCAACATTGTGCATATTTAAGCGAGTCTATATGATATATATATATATTGTATATATGTCTATGCATATATATAAACACACAACATTACTGCTATTCCTAAAGCTGCCGATTTTCTCTTTCTCATTACAAGACCATACTACGAACCATGAATTGAAGTTCCTTGTAGAGCTAAAGCTTTTTTTGAAAAAGCCTCGAGATTAAAAAATGGCCAATGTTCCCTCGTTTTCTTCAACATCGGGAGCTAAGGCTGCACAAGAATCTACTCATCACGATCAGCGCAAAAAAAAGGACACGAAAACGCAAGGAAGTGCACGACATAACCGCTGTTCAAAAATCTAGTAACACATGTCATTTGCCAAGTGGCTTTGAAATATCTGGAGAGGGAGAAGTAGGTTGTCATGGAGGTCGGCAAAGGGGAATAAAGTATAATATAAAAGTTGGTTGAAGAAAAGGGCACAATCACATCTCAAGCTCCAACAACACTTTCGTTCCATCCAAGCCACACCAGTACTTCCACTCTTCCCAGCTGTGACGCAACATGGGTTTGAAAACCTGTACGCCTAAGACAAGATCCTACTGATGCCCATGCATTTTTTTGATCAACTTTTCTTGTCTGGCTCTCCTTTCCAGTTTGCGGCCTTATGCAAACTTGACAATTTCTGTTCAAATTGACAGCATGCTTCCAGACCTGAGCCTATACAACCAGCCCATTACACTCAAACCTCGATATAACAAAGGTTTGTTATATCCAAAATTTCCTATAAAGATTTATTTTCAACACTGTTACTATGCAAGAACATTTTTCATTTACTTCGTCATAGCCGATATTTTGTTATGTCAGCGTTCATTATATCGAGGTTCCAGTGCATTACCTGGCTTCAAATTCAAAGCTCCAGTAAGACATGCTTTTTGGCATAGCCAGGGGAAAAGGGGGACTGTGGGTCTAAACACCCTCCAAAAGTTTTCATATTTGCATATTTATACATATATATATACCCATACACACATAGAAACATACACAAATATATATAAAGGTTAGTTGGACCCTCTCCACTCCCCAAAAATTTATGGTTATGCCAATAAAATGAATCCATGCACAGCATTCAAGTTATCCCTAAAAAAGTAACTCAGTGCACTTGTGATTGTTCCTCACATTAGTCACATGAAACAACTAAAAGATATTTTACAAGTTTTTTTTTTAGGTCTCCAATGCACCATTAAAAAAGTAGTAATGTTAAGGAGGAAGATAAAACCAGACATGCCCGCGATGTGTGTCAAAGTAATATGCTGCCATCTTTTGTTTTGATTGTTTACTTGACAATTTTTAACTGAGGCAAAATCAAAAGAGAATTTCATATAAACACCTTTACATACATTTTGTACGTGTATGTGCAGTGTAGAGCAAACAGCACGGATGTGAAACTCGCAAGTATGTGCCTTTACACTATGTGCAATGTTATTGTATATGCCTGGGAAGTTAAATATGCCTAATTGTACATGCCTTCTTAAGCTGCATTCACGCAGCCATCAAACATTGGCATGCATGACACTACAGGGCTCTATCGGAGCTTTTTTTTCAAAAAGGGGGGCCAACAACATAACAGCCACCAGCATGCTATTACTTAGGAGAGAATAGTGAGGAAATTCT